CTTAAGTCGGTTGGGTCGTTTCTGGCGATGCCAAGCTGCATTCCACCGATGGCATGACAGTTGTTGCTGTGTTTAGCCACACATCAATCGTTTAGACGCAACAAGTACTTGTACTTGAGTCCTAGTTGTTGTAAATATACATTATACAATGGTACAATAGTTGTCTATATACTGTACAGAGTGTCTGTAATAGAGGTAGTTACAAAAACAAAAATAATTAAGGCCTCTCTGACCACGAAAGACGGGGATGATAATAATTATTAATATATTATATAATATACCTACGATGCAGTAACGCTGCGATAAAGTGCTATTGCGGCAGGGTTAGCTGGCGGTGTTCACGGTGTGCAGCTGACGGCAATTTACCGTTTGTACGCGACAGGTTGGCAGGCCGAGTGCTTGTATTAATCACATTATATGTTTTTGATACCCAGGACATCTATTTTATGACCTTAGAAAACGATCACGACGGTCCCAAGTCGACGGGGGTGGTTTTGGTGGAGACCAATTGCGTTAGAACTTTTGGAGAGAATTAGCGTTGAGCGTTTCTAGTTGTCCATAAAGATAAGTATACTCAAGAGCTCTGGCGAAGAGCGAATTTGCCGTTTGTCGTTCCAAGGGGTGAAACCGATTTTTGCACTCATGTCAGGTCTCAGTTAACGGTCTCAAAACAAATAGCGTTATGTTCGGTTCATGGCGTGTGTACTCGTTCTCTTCAATCTCTTCCCCGCGTGTCGTACATTGTGCGCCACTCCTTGCCGATTGGTATATGTGCGCATGTACCGGCAGTTTTTCCACGGGTATAATAATAATAGTAATAATCATCATAACGAAATCGAATCAGCTGTCCGGCCAATCGGAACTAAACGATTTTTATTGCGCGTTTTTACACGCGATCGACAGATTTTTACGACCGGATTTTTACTCCTCCGGAACACCACCGTCAACGCAAAGAAGCATTATGATATACGGCGCAGTAAAAATAAAACAACAACGTCCGTTAGAAGATAATATCATCGCGCGTATTGATCATTGAAGTCGTTGTAAACATTATAATACCATGAACGTTCGGTCGTGTGGTATCGCATATCGATATTATACCGTTATCGATTTCAGAATTAAACGGCCGACCCCGTTTGTACACGGCATAAAGTGAGGCAAAAGAAGAACACTCTATGTGTAATGTGTATCACAGTATTAGTGAAACGCGGCACTGTCGAGTCGAGTTATCTTTTATTATATATATATATATATATATATGATGACAACCCTTTCCCAAAAGGGTTACGACCCTGAGAGCGTGATATAAAAATCGGTTACATCGGGGTTTTTCGACCCCGTGGGTAAACCTGAGTCGACCCGAGGATTGATTTGCACCGCGGTTGTGTGCCCGGAATGTGTGTGTTTGAACGTCTCACAAGAAGTCTGGCTCGTGGCTTCGTCCACCCTCTTTCTCGTATACCTACAACAATGTAAGGTCGAATGTGTACCTCCGCCACCGCGTTTGAAAGAAACACAGCTCCGGTTCGCCTATTCACAAAAAAAAAAAAAAAAAAAACATCTGCTCCCGATCTTTTTTGTCGCTATTTGACACAAAAAGAAATCACGATTTTTATATTATTTATTTTTTTTTTTAGATTTTTCGTTTCGCCCCCCCCCCCCGATTTCTCGTTCCCCAAAAACCGTCCGTTTGACCCCGCCGCCAGGTGCAGTCGTTAATAATAATAATTGTTACACACCGTGTATGCAGCACATGCAACGTGTAAACGAACGCGCGTACCGATACAATTATTATTATTTTTTTTTTTCAAAAATATTATCGCCGTTGTATATTTATGTATAGGTATCGTACCGTTGCACAGCACTTACACTTCCTGGTTCCGGACGCAAAAACGATGGCGATAAGGATCTATATGCTTGCGCCCCCCCCCCCCCGACAAAAATCCGTTGGTGACTTGTTGTGTGTGTAACTTTTTCATCTGGTCGTCAAGGGTGGGCCTGTATTTTATCGGCAACATCCAGGACCAGTGTGTAGATAAATGATTTTTTTTTTTTGGGAGGAAAATGCGTTATTTCATAACATTGCGGAGGTAGAACGGTCTTAATATGTGTGTATTGTTGTCGATCAGAAAACGTGCAATGCCGGTGTGTGGGAAAATGGAAGAGTCTCATCATATGTAATAATATAGTCATATAGGTACGTCTATTATAAGAGGGACGTGACTGTACACAATCCCTGTATCGGTATATGGTGACGTGGAACACAAAGCGGTGTCGACAGGTACACCAGGTAAATTGGACCGATTCACACACTTACATCCTTCGAACGAGCCATGTTCTTAATCAAAAACCATACGAAATTGCGTTGCATAATTCGCTGGGTGGGTGTACTGCTATTTTTAGGTTGAAGTGATCGGACGGATACAAAAAGCATATAGAAATATGACAAATCAGTGAGAGAAAAAAAAATACAAAATTGGTATCTGCGATATAGTTAACTCTTTGAGATAGTTTACACGTGACCAATTGATTGACTGCTGAACACACTTGAACTATTTCCAATAAAATAGCGTTTGGCACAATTTCAAAAAGTCGAGGGGGGGGGGGGGTTCTGACGCAATGCTATAAAGATGCACCCTATCGTCATTATGTGAGCCACCGATAAAGTCGTCAAGGGCGGTTCTATAGGCTTTTCAAAACGCCTGCTGACCGAAGGGGTAACGATGTTGATCGGCACTAATTGGTTTTAGAGTAGATTGTTTGATTTTGTGTTTTTTTTCTCTCTCACAAAATCACCCTGGACGGGACAGCTGCAGCTATAGAACAGTCACCAATGCAACGTGTCCTTTTGTAAACAATATTTTACGGATTCGTTTCGGTTTTTGCGGTCGAAAACGTTTACATTATGCTCGCGACGTCGAGGTTTCATTCAATTTTTTGACATATTTTACCCAAAAAAAAAAATACAAAAACTACACCTATAGCGTATGGCATAATGTGTCCACTGTTATTGAGTATTATTGCCAATATTCGCATAATATGCATAATAATTTACACACTTGCAAGCAAATCTCTTTGACATACCCGGCACTGTTGATCTACGTGCAGTGTGCAGTGGAAAAATCTCCTTTAAACGCAGCCGTCCAACAGGTATATAAACATCATATAGCTGCCAGTCCATTGATCCGATGTATATAAGATCTATTGCACCTGTCCCTTGGGGCACAACACCGTTGACCTTACGACCATTGCGTGGGCCTATGTCACACACCGAGTATACACACACACTAAAACGACGGTTTAAATGTAAACTAATTGTAACGCTTGTCTGACATTAAAATTCACTCTAGTTAACAAAAACAATTGCCAAAACTAATTAATATTATAACGTCCAAACCGGTGGCGTTTTGACCATATTTTCTAAGCGCCACGACCTCTTGCATACCGACAATGCAACCGCCCACGGGTGAGTATAGTGTTGTAAAGTGTATACACGTTTAGGTGCCGTCGGCCAACCTCTAAAAATGCAATATTTTAGTTATAGATCTTTGATTATTTTACTATACAACCGTTGTACAAGGTATAATAATACAATAATCCTCAAAATATTAGTTTCATTTTGCGAGCTTTCCAAAAAAAAAATGATGTATATATAACACCTTCTCGCGTGTAGTGTTTAACAGGAAAACCAGAAAGACATATTACACTATAATATGCATGAGAATCGTATCTGCGTTTGGGGCGTCGGTTTCTTCCCCGTCGTCGTTGTTCCATTGATATTTATATTATCTGTCTAATATACTTTGGGTATAATAAAACAATCCCCTTTCTCCATATCCGGCTGTAGGGATGAGACTATACACAACGCATAATGTAGTATAGTTCGATCTCAAATATATGTATATTATTATTAAAATAATAATAGTTCTCATCCAACACCACACTTTACTACGACAGTGTTTTGAAATCCAACGCCTCCCGAGTTCTGATATTATGTAAAATTTTATTAACGGTTATCGGAGTTCGTTTTTTTTTTTTATTGCCACGGTATTTGACAGTGAATAATATCAATAATTATGGATGACTACTCTTATCTTTGCACAGCATCCATATCCAACTTCTTTTACATTATTTCTCCATTCTCATTCTCTATTCGTTGGTCACAATGATCTTTTTTGACATAATGGTGCTTTTTGTTAAATCCGTAACCAAGTTTACAAAATAACAAATAATAGTGTAATACTAAACAATACCATTATATTTATTCGTTTACTCGAGTTCTTTACTCGTTTATTCGATTTATTTACTCGCGTTTACTCAATTCGGTTACTCGTTATGTGTATACAATACAGCTAAGCCTAAGAACAATATCATCCTTCTGCGTATCTTGGTCGAGCTCAACGAATTTTTCTATTTCAGTCCAGAGTGGGGCATTATTTAGTTAATGTTTAATTTAAATAATTTTTCGAATAAAACTAATAAATAATGATTAAATCAACTATTATACGTGATTAATTTCATTTACTCATGATTAATTTAACCATTGGTTATGATTAATTTTTTTAATCACGATTGATTTAACTTTAGCCCATGATTAACTTTTTCAATCACGACTAATTTAACTATTATTCGCGTTAATTTTTTCAATCATGATTATTTGACTATTATTCGCGTTCATTTTTTCAATCATGATTAATTTAACTATTACCCACGGTTGAATATTTCAATCATGACTAATTTAATCGTACTTCAAAGTTGAAATTTGTATTCATGACTAATTTTATTTGTTATTGTCTGATTAAATTAATCACGATTAAAAAGTTAACTTTATGTGATGGCTAAAAAATGTTTAGTCGTCGAGTTAACTTAAATAAAAAAATGCCCATCTCTGCCAGCACCACTCTGAGCGCTATACTGTGCACATACTTACCTACCATCCCACAACCCAATCATATTGGAACGGAAACTTAACTTTTTTTCTCTCCCGTTTGTGTCCACAGAACCGGAATTCATGACGAAAAAACCGTCGGTGATGGCGGCGTCTTGCATGCTGTCGGCCATCCGAGGCATCGAACCGGCGGCCGCGGCCGAGGTGGCCACCGAGTTGTGCGGTCTGCTGGAGTGTTCGGCGTCCGAAGTGGACGAGCACGTGTCGCTGATCGACGCGCTGGTGGCCAGCACGACGGCGGCGTTGACGCCCGAAAAGTCTGAGAACAACAACCCGGCAATGGCGGCCGAACCGCCGGTCAAGAAACCCTATCACAGCATGGACGACCATTGCTGTGCCGGCGGCCTGTGAACGATTGTCGTCGTCGCCGTTTTTCCACCTTTCTCTTGATCAAAAAAGAAAATATAATATGTATGTATATATACTAATACAAGAAAATTGTTTTTTTTTTCTGCAAAAGAGACGTTGTTATAATATACAGACATATATTATAAAAAAAATTGTTCATACGCGTACATAATATATAATATGTTTATATGGTGTTAGAAGTGATATATACGCGTTAAACATATGTAAAGAACTGACTTCACGTTACATTGTTGAATTTCTTTTTTTTTTTTTGTAAAGCATCAAACATTATTATTATTACTTCTACCTCATAGGTGTGTTTTTGTTTTTCTCTTTTTTTTTCTAACGCATTTACTTGTTTATTCTTTTATTTATTGTCTTCTTAAGTATTTTTTTTTTTTTTTTAATATTTTCAATTTTTACTTATTTTCCATAATATGTATTTCGGTAGAAATATGTAATATAATATCCTTTAACGTCGTAAATGACCCAATCACTAATGTTAAGATTGTACGATTGTACCTTTACTGGTTACTTCTGCGAGACTATAACAGCGATTTTATTATAATTATTATTACCTACTTCGACGGAATGATATTATTAAATATGTATAATGTTTTATAAATAATAACATTAACAGTCGTATAATAATAATAATAATTTCAAACAACAATAACAATAATAATATTATTATATTGTCATTATTATTTAAAGAAAAAAATGTGATAAATAGTTTTAGAAATGTTTTAGGAATTTAAGATTGTATAATATAATAATATTATTAAACATAATATTATTGCCTCTGTCTTCTACGTATTAAGCTTTCCATCCTTATCGTTCATTATTTTTTTTATTTAACTATAATATTATTATTTTATGTATGATCTCCTTATTCTATTATTTTATGCGAAAAGCGTTTAAGTTATTTAATATAACTTTATGAATAAATTTAATTTCACGTTTTTTCGAGTGTTGAGAAAAAATGAAATATTAATGTAATTATTATTATTAGTAATAAGTAATTTAGTTTTTTTTTTGTTTTTTTAATGTTAGCGTCTATCTAATTTAGTTTGTAATTGTATGTAAGTACTGTAGTGGAATTTTTTTTTATAGATCTCTGAAAGAAAGTCGGCATTTTTTATGTTTATCTTTCTTTCGATCGGTTCATTAAAAAAATATATATATATTTATAAAAATAACACCAAATCAGAGTAGCTAATAAAAAAATGTATGTATGGAATTTTAATAAAAATTATACTATGATCTCTTGTAAAACGTTTAGAAAAGTGTATAGAAATTAAATAAAAAATTAATAACGTATAAAACGATGAAATATTTGTATTATATTATTAAATTTATATATTATAAATTAATAAAAAAACCAAAAACGGGACGTAGTGTTTCTATTAGTCACTTATGTTAGATCGATTAAATCTTAGTTAATATTTAATATTATTAATCGTGTACACGGGGAAACGATACAATTGCGTTAAAGTTACCTTTATCTGTATAGTAAAATTTACTTACCCAATGGACAAAACCTTTTGTATACCTTTTTTGTATTAATTAATATTAATACCGTGGACTGATGGACACCGTTGCCGTTTAATGTTTACATAATATTATATTATATAAATTATATATGTACAAGAAAAAAAAATTAAAAGCGTTTTATACACAATCTCTCATATTTATAGTTAAAATATGTTTCTATTATTTTTTATTATTATGTTTCATTTTTGTTTTCAAGGGACGGCTATTATTTTGTTCATTAATTCTATTTGCTATTTTTTTTGTAATATTCAAAAAACATCCGTTAAGAGGGACTCGACCATTTGTATATTTTTTTATTATTTTTATTATTTAATATTATGTCATTATTGTTAGTTTTTTTTTAATGTAATTCTTGCGGGTCTGCCACGGCTCGGTACAGCTACAAACCAAATCTAAACTCCCCAAAAAATGTGTCGTCTAACGACCATTGTTGTCCTCCCCCCTCTACTCTTTACCCCTCTCACACTTTATTATAAGTATTGATGTTCACTTCGTTTATTATTATTATTATTATTATTATTATTATATATTTTTTTCCCTGTACAACTAGTTATATTTAAAAATACATATTTATATTAATAAAATACAAATAAAAAACTACAATACTATATCGGTGTTACTTTTTCTTTTTTTAGTAGAGCCAAATTTTTTCACACGTGTATAGAAATTAAATAGTTTATATATACGCTATATAGTGTGTAGTATATATATATATATATATAATAATTTATCTATATATATATATATACTAGTATAACGTTCTTTGTATTGGTGGATTCCATTTAATAAGAAATATCATCAAGATGCTATCGCTATTGATTTGCTCAGTTGTTTGTGCCTTGTTGGCCTGCCAAAGAATATTATAAACTGGTAAAATTAATTTTGCTAAAGAATGTAAAATTAAAAAAACGACGATGGTGATAATAAAAGCTCTCTAGTAATAAACAAAAAAAAATGGAAAATGGCATTTCCAATAGCGTATATTGTATGATCTTAGACATAATCGTTGATTATAAATATTTAATAAAAAAAAAAAACAAGTAAATAATTATGGATATATAATGAAGATGATCAAGACGGAGCAAGGGAGATGTCACTCATTTCCTAAAGTCGGTTAGTCTAAACTTGCAATAAACTCTTTTTTGTCAAAAACTATTTGGTCGCACAAAATGTATACACCCAGGTATTTAATTTTGTCATTCGGTCCAGTAGCTTGGATAATAGTGTGCTTCTTCGGATCTTATCTGTTTAACTGAAATACTTGATTTCCCAATATAACTTTATACATACTGATTACCCCCTCAAACAATTCATCACGTCTAGTACTTGTAAATAACAATTTTACATATTGTGTTATTGTATATTTATTTAATTGTATTTAACTGTACACAGATAATTCATTTTCTACAAAAATTTTTGTGCGTTGGAGACGCAACGGGACGCAATAAAAAAATTATATGTTCTTAAAGCTGAGAATTTCCTGTATAAAATGCATATTTTAGGGTATTATTATTTTATTGGGTTTAGGGTGAAATTGAGTAAATTTTAACTGAAGTCTTTGAAGAAAAAAAAACTATATTTTTTTTTATGAATCATAACCGTTAGTGATTTAAATTAAAAAAAAAAAAAAATTATTTATATTTTATAATCTTTTTATGTTACTTAACAATCAAGTATTTTATTTTTTTTATTTTATATATGCCAATTTTTATTTTCAAAATAACAGAAAAAAACAATATGTAATTAGTTCACTTGGCTATAACTCCAGTTCAAAAAATGTTATTTTGCTGATATTTTTTAGATCCTAAAAACATATTTTTTGAACATTTTTAATGGCCTATTTTTGCCGCCTAAATTTCATTCTCAGACCACTGTGCGGCGGTCCCGTGAACGTTTTCACACGAATGTACACATAAGTATACCTAAATGAGGTTAGGTAGATTACAATTATTGTATATCAGTACAATATTATAACGTCTACGGTACATTGATGATGATAATAATGATAATTCGATGTTTTTTATCCGGCATTGTAATCTAATAATAATTACTATTATCCACCCTCGTGTATTGGTAAAATAAAAATGTCCACTATACCATCGAATTTCTGTCATTTCCAACAACCTATTATTATCAATGTGATGTAATTTGTGGATCGTGTATAATTATCACGAATTCCAAAGCGTGCATTCGACGATAATACCTAATGATAAAAAAAAAAATTAAACTTTGCATCGGTCGCCGTCCTGTGATATCCGGTTCTCACATGCGGCCACCCTTTCTCTCCAGCACAATGTCACCCTTTTTTTCGGTCATCCCCGAACATAGAGATATATATATATATATATAGGTACAAGCTGTGTAATTATTGCAAGGAGTCGAACAGGGTTTATTTTTTCTAACAATATTTTCGGACGTCTCCCACGCCGTTTCGACAACATCGTAATAATATAGCGATATTAATAAATAAATAATATAATACGCGTTAGCAATTGCAAAATAGATTAGCAATATAGCATATTAATCGGGCAGAGGACTTCTAGCATTGTCATATATACGTTTTGCGCAGCCGTATAAAAAGGCCAACCGTAAAGAAATTTGTTTTAGGTTATGACAAAGCCAAATCTGTAATTTTATGTTGCATATTTAGGTCTTTTTTGCTTTTTGAGACATTTTTAAGGGGGATTTTTTGAACATTTTCTTTAAAAATAATTTATCAAAACAATAATCAGTAAAAAAATTCTAAAATATTGGACATTTTTTTTTAGGGTCAGAAGAATGAATATCAAATTATTAAAAATAAAAAATAAATTATTCAATATACCTACCTTTAATAAATTATACATTAATTACAGTATAATTAAGTCAATAAATAATAAAAGTTTCATAAGGCCAAAGTTGTTATTCATTTATTGGTCGTGAACTCATAGTATAGCGTATAAGTATAGTTTAATTTAGTCAGTAATTTAAGTTTTTATATTTTAAATGTTTTAATTAAAGTAATTAATTTGTTTAATTAAATCGCAAAAAAAAAAATGTTTAAAGCGTATAAATAGTGCATATTTTAGGGGTTTTAAGTGCATAAATGCTTGCATATTTAGTGTTTTTTTAGAGCTACAAGTCCCCTGCCCTACAGGCTACATATTAATAATAATATGTAGTTTAATGCGTTAACAATAACTGCTGGCCTATTCGTGGGGGAGAGACATAGATAGAGGGGCAACCCCCCGGGAGCTTTATTACTAGCATACTACATTTTGTAGTTTGACTATTTTTTTATTAATTTGGCATTCATTCGGAAATGAAAAATTAAAATAACATTTTATTTCCGTCGCATAAGTAAACACCTAATTGTATCAAAAGAAAAAATTCAGTCGAGATTATAACTGCTATACCTACACGGGGCTTTAAAAAGTATTCTCACGACTGCTTTGGAACTTTGGAACTGTTTTATTTTGTTTGTTGATTAAAGTCTAGTCGATTTGCCCCAAGTCTTGAATTTTACTAGTTTGCAATGCTAACCTAAAGTTGAACTTGCATAATTAGTTTTAAATTTAGCTATTCTCTCAACAGTCAACTCCTCCACTGTTACTCTTCAATTCAAGTTTTCGGTTATTACAGTTGTCAATATCTTTTTGTATCATTTTTATATCCACGTCCTTAGTTATTATATAATAATTGGTTGACATTTGAAACCTTTATTTAGGTATACAATTTGTGTTTTTTTTATTTTTGTTCGTTAAAAAATAAACTTATTTATTCTTTTAAAAACTTTAATAATGACAAAATATAAAAATGTACTTTAAATGCTTGTAAGCTGTAACACGTTTAAAAATCAGATGTTTGGAATGAGAAAATAAATTTCCAAAATAGAACAATATTATACAATCATATTTCTGTCCACAGTGCCTGGTTATATTAATTTTTCTCTTCTAAAATATTAAATAACGATTTTAATAACAATTCTTACAAAACTACAACCGAAACAAGAATAAATAGTAACAGTTTTAAAATATAAGTATATATATATATATGACGTAGATAGACATTGTAAAATATGTAGATAAGCGGAGAGAGAGAGGACGTTAGGGTGGACGACCCTACCCTTCTTGCACGGGAGACTATGGTCAAAAACAAGAAAAAAAAACAAACTTATCAAGTAGAACATAAATTTAAGAAAATATGTTCTTTTAATTTCACATGATAATCGTAGATGGGCAATATTTATTGTATGAAATAATTGTTATCTATATCTTGGATAAAAAAGGTCCAATCCTCCAATCAGTAAACCATTAATTTTAAACGTTAACAAAAGAAGGAAATTAATTGTGGTTTTTTGTAAAACCACAATTAAGGTTTTTTTTTTTTATAATTAATAACTATTTAAGAAGACGAGACATGTGCAGTTTTCAGCGTTCAAATTATCACATTTATTTTTATTCAAAAGGTTAGTCATATTTATAAAACAAACAAATCATCTCATTGAAATAACGTCAATAGCGTACAACATGCAATTAGTTGGCAATTAAAAAAATTCATATAATAATATATAATAGCTATCAAATAAACCAAACTTGTTTATTTATTTTTTACGTATTACCATTTAAACGTATCGGAGAAGACCGAGGAGATCTCACCTTGTATGTTTAAACCAGGCTAGCTTAAAGTATCTAGTACCACTTTCCGTTTATAAATAAATAGCTATAGAACCTACAATTTGTTGTTATTATTGGCTGTTTTGTAAAAAAAAAAAAATTAAAAAATTGTTTCATAGACGCGCCAAAAAGTGGTTTTACATAACTTATTTTTATTTTTTTTAAATTATCTTTTACCATAATGATTACGAATAAACTATGTGTATTTAAAAATAAACTACACTTATTTCTTAAATGTGGCAAAGGATAATGTATGTAATTATAAAAATTATATATTTGTATTTAATCCAACGAGAACTAACAAACGTTTCATTTTTAGACTATTCCGTGACCTATTCTACTTTGTCGGTAGCAATAAATATAATATTTACGATAAATTTACTCAACTGACTTAGTTCATTTTTGCTATGAGAATGAATCAATAGCAAAACAATGTAGTTATTTTATTTTATACTTGTAAGTAAGGGTAAAAAAAAATGATCATAATTTAAAATTATACACATAAATAAATATTTTTATATACTCATTATTGTTAATAATTATTTTAATTTTCGATGTACAAAAGTAAAAAAATAAGAAAGGAATAATTAAAGAAGTATACAAATATTAAGCATGAATTAACAATACAATATTAACGACATTTCTTATGCATTAATCGCTACAATAGAGCACGTCGGAGTGCAGTTAATAGGACATCTTAAAATAACAATATTAGTTGATTATTTACTCATTTTATCAAACTAATAACAGCATTTAAAATTGTTTTGACAAAAACTGTGGTTGACATACACATTCGGAGCTAATACACTTCTTGTTCACTATTACAGTCAACGGCAAATTCACTCTGATGCTAGGATAAGCATATTTCTGAAAAAGAGAAATATCACCAATCAATTATAATTGATTGAAAATATATTGTGAACGTTAACGCTCGTAACAAAAAGTAATAGTTTGGTTTGAATAACAAAATAATTTCAAAAAAAAAAAAACAAGAATTTAACTAACACAATACATTTTGACAAATACTACAATTTCTCTATGTTTGGCCAAAGAAAATTTACAGTTTTACTCTTAGCAATTATATAATTGCATTTTTGGTTTATTCATATACTTGATGTGACGTGTCTACCCGCTATGAGTGTAATTTTTATTTAATAAAAGCGTTTTGTCAAAATCAGTGGTTCTCTTCATAATTACGATTCATTGACTAAATATACATAACCTCCTAATGTTTTATCAAAAACTGTCACTATATTGACATGACCTACCTCGTAAACTCAAAAAGAAAGATGTTTGTAGTAAATAAAATTAATTTAATGGATTTAAAAGCAAAGCGGCTTTTTTTTTTATAGTAAAAATATAAGTCTTATCATGTCAATGAAATGTATTATTACTTTTCTTATTGATGATCATTTTTGTTATGAGAAATATAACAGTGAAATTTTTTCCAAAACAAAACATTACTTTTCATGATGAGCCTCAAGTGTCAACGTTCGATACATACCTGGTCTTTATAAGTTGCTTCAATTTTACTCATGTACGGTTCAGGAATAGCAACAGAGTCACCAATAATTGGACCTTTGCCTTGTGCTAAATTATACACAGACACTACGATACAAGCGAGTTCTTTGTCGACCAGGCAAAATGTACTAAAACATTAAGTATTTTGTGTACAAGTCTACTATCAACAAACAAAATAAAAGTTAACCAATCGATGCTTACTAGGGTACGGGTTCTTGATTATACACGACACACACTACCCGTCCACACACTACTTTGTCGATATTTAAACCCACTTCTAGTTGTGATATTGGACTGGGCTTCAACACAACTTCGCCTTTCATTGATTTGATCTTGTCTTTATATAAACCTAGACAACTCGTGTCCAACGACTAAATGGGAAATACAGAATTAATTACTACGTGACTGACACGTATACACACATAATAAACATAAATACATCAGTCATTTGTTTTAATCGCTTGCTCTTCATTTGGCCCTTACGTTGGTACAATGTCTGTGTGGATTTTAAATATTTAATGAGATCTTCCAAAGTATCTTTCGCTATGGTCCACTGTGGATCTAATAATGACGCTTTTTCAAAACTAGCCAGTGCATCAGTGTATATTTCTCCATACTTCAAAGCCTAATTGAAATTACAAAAAAAAAAATATTCAAAAATTGAAATACGACAAGTAAAAAAGTATGATCACTTACAACGCCTCTGTTGAAATGGAGGTCAGCATTTTTAGCTGCCGCCGGGTCTTGAAGCTAAAGACAGGTTAAGAAAAAAAAACATAAATTACATAAGTAGTTATGAATACATTTGTCAACATTAGACTTACTGCTTTTTCAAAGGAATTGATTGACTGCCTCAACAGTTTATCTTCTTGTTTCCTAAAGAACAAAGAAAGATAAGCGTTGCCAAGTATAGTCCACGACTCACCATCTGATGAATCCAATTCAACTGCCTCTTTTGCATATTCAATACCGGCTTCTAAGCTTTCCCTCATGTTTTCGTTGGTCAATAATTGTGTTTCCCTCATAATGATGGACAAGTTACGTAAAATGACTTTGCTTTTTCCCTACACGCAAATAAGAGTTGTACCAAAATAAAACTATTCATGAGTGAAACTACATTTATTACGTACATGTTTCAGTGAAGCAAGAAAACAGTATTTAGCTTCTGAATATCGTTTCAAGTGAACCAGACATTCTCCGAGTGAATTCCAAGCGTCTAAATGTGCTGGATTGAGTTTTACGGCTTTAGAAAAAGCGTTGATACATTCTTCAGTAACCGGATGTATGACACTTCCTGTCTTGCCCAACAAAAAGTAATAATGTGCTTTGTTCTCGGCAATCGCAGATACTAAACCCAAATCAAATTAATAGATGTTATTTCATGATAATAATAGTATTAAAATAATTTATTCCCAATAACTACCTTCATTGTCCTTCATTAATTGGATTACTTGTTGAATTTTTTCTTTTAATATTATTTTATTAGAAGACTGGTTTTCTAGATTATCTTCCAATGAACTTTTGTTAAACGTGTACAACTCTTCAACATTAGCCTTAAAAAAAAAAAAAAAAAAACAAATATACAAAAGTATTGTATTGGTAGGTATTTAAAGTACAATAATAAAAAAACCGTGGACAACACAATGCCATATATGGTACCTGTAAAAGGTTTAGCGTGGGTGTATTTGTATTGTTATCTGACAACGATAGACCGTTGAGCCGTTTAGTGGCCTGTAGGTCATCAAGATCAGATTCATTCTTGATGCCATCTGTAGTTTGAGTTTCGCTCATGATGATCGATACCTACTGAATGTGATAAACAATTAAAATTGTCAATAAATCAAGGTACTAGTCAATAAGAGTATTGAAATATGAATATTAAATAATGGAAAAAAATACAAAAATAAATAAATTTGTCTTGGTGACTATAATTATAGGTGATTATAGGTGACTGTTGTTGGTCATATTTGTTTATACTATTAAATTGTTTTAAAAAAACCAGAATGTATGTAATTTAATTTTTAAAAAAAACAAAATAAATGTTGGAAAAATAACATTTATTATTTCAATAATTTGTATAATTTAATGGCGACTTTAATATTGTAAAAATTATTATTTTACTACATAAAAATCTTACAGCTTTTTCAGTGGGATTTAGTGAGCATTTTCATTATGAAAATGATCGACGCTAAATGATTTACATAGTCCACATCCGATCCGCGTTGGCTGGCAACCGAAATGCAGTAATTTGTAACAACGACTATTATTGTTGTTATTTTTTTTTTCTTCAAGAATTATATTGAACGTTAGATAAGTATTATTATAATGTTTTATTTTAACTTGTAAGTTGTAACCAGGCAGTGGATACAAACGTCAAACACAAACATATGAAAAAATAATAATAATAATAAAATTTGATAGGCGATAGCCGCCGGCGAAGAGATGGGAATACATAATAAAAAAAAATGATAACGAGGATCGTATGGAAGTTTGTAACGATAGCTGCTGTTAAATAAACAATTAAAATTATTATCCGATTCTACAGTATCAACCGCAGCTGTAGTACAAGGAGAATAATTGATACTTGATGATGATAATAATAATAGGTAATAATGTTGAAAAATAAAAATTCTAGAACGGAGTAACAAGTGATAAAAAGTGTAGGTATTTGGGTTTTTTTTTTTTCATTACAAAATAATATAATCAATCAATGTTGTTTTTGTTATTTTCTTTTTTTCCAATCCGTTTGTGAGTTGTGTCATCACTGCTGTGCGTTAAAGATTGATGCTGAAATGCATCTAAATTCTGATCATTAATAATTGTTTTTTTTTTTAAAGGCGTCGATCGCCAATCATGAATTATGTTTTAATTTCGTGTCGGACACATGGAATCGGTCACAATACTCTCGACTAGGAAATAGTAACTAGTAAGTACAAAAAAAAAAACCATATGTTTTTTTATGTGTATGTGCGTAGCTATTGTATGTACATACATTTAGTTTCCACAACAATAATGTTGCTGTAGTTTTTTGAATTAATTAGTAACTTTTATCAAACTTTCGATTGCAGGGGAATTTCTCTGTGTACATACCTTTGTGTAGTGTATAAGGGAAATTGTTTTAACGAACAAATTTACTTACTGAAGTTTGTCTAAAATAAAAATATAATACTTGAAAGTATTTCACTAGTTAGTCGTGTTCAAAAAGTATTTTCCGATTAATCTGTTACTATGAGTTAAACAAAATAGTTTGCTCATGTATTTTTTGTATATAGGGCACCGATAAATGCAAAATAAAACAAACGATATATAAAGATAATGACATTTTATAGAATATTATTATTATACGATTATTATTTATTTGTTATTTTTAGTAATTTCTGATGTATAATAGTAAAATAGAATCATTTATGTACGTCAAATTATTATTTTTAGGGAAACTACTGTGTTTTATTTGGTCGTATTAAAACATTAGCATAAAATACTGACTTATCATTTGTTTTATCCTTCCACATGGCCTTATAATTTTTTGCCTCGGTTAATATTATAAGCTGTATCATTGTTTATAAAACAAAATCGATTACAACTTTTTCAAAATATAATAGTGTTTATAATAATAATTCCATACTAGCCAATTTATTTAAAAAAATACCTACTATTTTTTATAAAAAATATTGTCTAAAAATTATCTATAACATATAATGTATCCTATATAAATGGAAAATTAAAATATTAGCATATTTCTTCTTACTTGTTAGCCACATAAAAAGTACTTAAATTGATTGTTTATCATTGTTTGTCGTTTTTTACACATTGACAGATAATAGCTATAAGAAAATTAAAATTTTTGTCATTCATTATTATCATTATCATTCATCGTTAACAAACGACACGCTATTATTTGTTAGACATATTATACTATTTTTTAATCACACATTATTAGTTTTAACGTCTGACAAAATGTCAGATTTTGTTTATACTGATTACACAGTATAGTTTTTATTGTCTATATAAGATAACTATTTAAAGAATCACTTTTCTTTTTGTTTAAAAAATAAACAAAGTTAGCAACTAATGTTCACTAAACCTTGTGCAACACTTTTCACCAAGTATTATAGTTCATAATTATATAAAAAAAATAAGTTTTTATTTAAAAAACAATTTTTAAATAATAATAGCCAATAGGTTAAGTGTGATAGAATGGGAGTTGGGACCTACTCCGTAGACTAGTTAAAGTAATTGCTGTTTTGATATCAATACATTTAAAAAAATTACACTATCATTTGCAGCTGTACTAATATTTATTGTACAATTGTATAAAACGTGTACATTGAATGAATACAATGAGGATTCCTAAAAGACATTTTAAAATTGTTAACTTTTACAGTTCCAATTTTTGTTTTAATATTTAACTGACCTAGATGTGAAGGTAATGATTTCATTATGATATCTTTTTTTTTTCCAAAAGTCATCATATTAACAATTTTATCCAATGAACCATGTCAACATTATGTTCTTGTTATTGTTAATAACTTTAAAAATATTTTTCATTAAAGCCTTAATTTTTTTTTTTTTTTTATACTCTAATTATATTTGTAAAAAATATCTCTTACTTATGTCTTACTACTTATGATATAATGTATATGATAAAATATTTAAGCATTTACATGTTCGTATATTTTTGTCCGATTATTAAAACAACCGAAAAATTACATACTTTATTGGAGAGAATAAACCTGTTAAAATTCAATAAACTATTTAATTTCTTTCATTCTAATTTTATTTCATCAAAAGAATAAACAAACACATAAAATCAAAAATTCATTTTTTATTAAAACTAATTTTAAATAGAACTGTTTTAAATGTATTATGGAATGAGTAAAGATATACCATGCCTAAAATATAATAGTATTTTTAGAATTATATAAGTCTTTCTTTATCATTCACTATATCTTCAATTTCTCAAATACAAGTTGTTTTTATATTGTGTTGATATTTATCCTGCATTTATATTTTAGTGTTTTTTAGTTAAATACCACAACATGAAGTCAACAGCAAAACCTGATTATGACAGACGATTTCAAGAAGACCTGGAAAAGGCACAAGCGTTGAGCATGGAAACATTGGCTTTAGAGAAGTTCCGTAATCAAAAATTGCAATCTGAATCTCTAACTTATAGTGGAAATAGTACTGTGTGCAGTAGCAGTACGCAAAAATCTACTGTGGAGTCAACTCGATCAATGTCTCTTTCAGGTTTGTTCCAAAAGTGAAATATTTTTTTTTAGAACAGGTGTATGTTGTTATGATCCTTAGGTCATTAACATCCATATAAATACTTGTTACGGTGTCTGGTCATGTATTAATATTAATTGTTTTGTGTTTAGAAAAAAACGTTTATTGCACCGAGCTATCTAGATCGCGACCGAGGCCTGGATCGTTTAACACAGGTATGGCTGAAATACCGTTAAGCATAAACAAAAGTGCAAAGCAAAATTAATGTTTAATTTTCTAGGCGAGCTACTGGTGCCAAGGATAAAACCACCTCCTCGACGTAATACTACTGTAGCCATTCCAAAAAGTAGTACTAATGAGTCAATAAACGATTTAGTCAGTCTTGATTCACCGCCCATTGATGATCTCATGAATAATTTAGAGCCATTCAATTTTCTAAATAGGTAACTAAATGACTACTGAACTATCATAGACCATAGTGTTTTAGGACTAGCTTTGGTGGCGTATTGTTTACTTGTCATATGCTGTACCAAATTTAAATATGATGAATCAAATTAAATAGTTTAGATTGGTTTGCGTCGCCATGACTATATTTACCTACCTCGCCGTTCTATGTGACTAAATTAATCTCTGAAAACTAATCATTGTTTGAATGGGACACACATATCATTGTCCTCTGTATTAAAATTTGTATTCCAAAATAGACTATCTTTACATTTCCTACTAATAGTCCTTCTTTCTATTATTATTATTATTTCTTTCTTTGTTTCCAATACAGTCTTTTGTGTTCAAACAATGTATAATGATGAGTTCTTGAGCAGATATTTGAGAATAGCTTGAGGTAAACATATAGGTTGGTTCGAACCTTGCCATTCTTTGAAATGATTAAATTCTGATTTAGCAGTGTATAATAATAATAAATAGTGTTTGTTAGTAGAGACACATAATAATCATCTGTTTTGCTGACTAATTGTTTTATGTTTAGCAGGAACAATTCGATTTGTGCAAGTGATAGTAACTCGACATTCCAGAATCATAGTGTTATCAATAACACGAATAAACAATGTATAAGTAGTGCTGAACAACCTGTTGCTAGCGGATCGCAAATTCTCCAACAAAATCTAGAAAAACTGTATCAAGGGTCTTTTCCTTCTACAAACCTAACTACTCTTCCATCAGCAGGTTACCAAATCACAGTTCCTCAACAATACTCCCGGCAGGAGATTTCCTATAGTGGCTGGACTGCTAACAATATATCTCACACCAAAGCTTCAAGTTGTAGTGAAAATAACGTACAATCGCAGACTCTACAGGCCGTAGTAAAACCCACTATTTTAGCTTCGTCTTTAACCAAAAAACAAAATAACAATAACCTCATCGATTTAAATATTTTCGATGGCTCTGAAAACTTCAACAAGAACTTTTGTGCAAATGTCAGAACTAGTGTTCTCGAAGCGTTTGACCCACTGCTTTACGGAGAATTGAGTGTAAATACTACGACAGAAACCGATTCGGGTAATTTGAATTAACTTATCGATCAGTCTATGGGGTTTTTTAACAGTTCAAATTTTATACAATATATTCAGTTTGACACGTATATATTTTTTTATAGATAAGAATGGATCGTTTTACGCTACTTACGATCCGTTTGACTACATGTATTCTCCATCGGTATCATCCCAGACATCAGATCCTATATACGCTGCCGTTATAAAAACACCTATCCATTCTCCACCACCGTTACCGCCGAGAAGTTCTCTGACACCTAAAGAATCAAAAGTAAATTAACAACTCTTTTAAATTATAAAATTTAAATATTTAAACTGTGTTTTTGTCTTAAAAGGTTTGCAAAAGTTTGACCTATGAAAATGTGGGGTTAGTTAAACGATCGTCAGTGCTTCATGATCCAGATGTTGTCGCTTTTCATGCTATGGTCAAACAAATTAGAAGTATGTTGACAGTAATCAAGTATTTGAATATTATTATTGTTATAAATAACGACCAATATTACGTTATACATTTTGTATTTTTAGAAAAATTTGTCTACACTGATTTGAGTACAAATGCTGGTATAATTGTTTGTTCTAAATTTGAAAACAATCTCCACGAAACGACCAGTACCAAGTTTATTGTGCATTGCGAACCAATTAGAAGTACACCGATTATATTTACTTGTGACGGTAAATTCACTATTCATTACTTAAAAATAGAGACATACAAAGTCTGAGATTTAAAAAAAGGAGATCATATTATATTTACAATTGAATTGTAGTTGTCTAACTTTTGTGTGAAAGAAATGTTTTTTAAATATGGTTTTATTTGCTGGATTTAGGTTAACGTAAATGTAAATACGTACATTTTGTTTTAAACAAAATAATACTTGCGTTTGTCACTTAATTTTTAGTATAAAAAAAAAAAAAATCAACGTAAACATACAAATAAATAAATAGTTGTAGTTTATAACATTTTTTATGTTAACAGGTTAACATAAAAACATACTAAATTTTCAACAAAGCTATTTAAATTGAACACAGTGTTTACCAATGTTATTTGTAAAGTTAATATCTATTGCTAAAAATATTATTATTTTATTTTTTTTTTTTATATAATCCTTAGATAGACTTAATAAACACAATTACTTATATGTATATTTTTTATTAATTTAGTGGGAAGTAGTGTAGAACATGTAATATCACAAGTAATTTGTGAACTAGAACTTGAGGATGCACACCATACAGACTATTTTCTTAAAGTTAAAGATTTTTTCGAATACTTGTTACCAATGAATACTCCGATTATTAATTTTGAATGCATACATGAGTGTATAAAATTAGATGCAGACATTGAACTCAGTCTTGTTCATAAAGATGAAGTTATTTGTCTTTATGCTAGACAGGTAAATAAATAAATATGTAATAAGTATATTGTATTTTATATATGACGTGCATTTTCATACCACCCATTTTGTTTTTAGTCCCAAGACGATGTTTGTGACAATGAGTTAGTGCTAAATGATTTATGCCCTAATGAAGTTTCACAACCAATTACGCACGACACTCTTAAAATTCTTCTTGGTACTATATTTTTTTTTTATAATCTATTATTTAACCGACTTAATTACTATAATGACATTTTTTTAGATACACTCGATGGTGAAATGCTTAAAATACAAGATCATGCTGTGTCGCTGTTCAAAAAACGAACTAATACGCCATTACAGCCAAATGGTGTACAGCAGGCAATCAAAGCGTTGACTGCGTTTTTAGGCAACATTGAACCATTGGATATAACGTTGGCATTGAACAATTTTATTTTGTCTTGTAATGAAATATCGAATTTCACCCAGGTTAAATTATAAATTAGTGTATGTTAATAATTGTATTCGGTCATGTAAATGATGTATGTCTTTGGGATTTACAGCAAGATTTGTATGGTAAAAGAACTGAAGTGATCATGGATGATGGTTCAGATTATTCGGTAGTGAGGTTAAAATTCAACGAATCTGAAAAAATTGATTACATTGCTGATTTATGTTCAAAAATTAAAGAAAACGTTCAAACATTAATTGAGAACTATTGCAAAGCTTTCAAAGTAGACTTTCAATTGAATTTCACGTCTTCTCAGTTGTCGGGTAAAAATCTTTTACGACTTTTCTTGTTATTGCCGCGTTGATGTTAATTATACCCTTTTTCATTATTATTTTGTAATAGGGGTTAAATTGTCTTCCGAGGTGCTGGATAATGTAGTGGTGTACATTAGTGGGTTACATAGATTATTTCCATCTTGGAGCCATGATGAATATTTGGTCGCTGCTCAGATATATCACGGAACTAGGCCGATCGGTAGTACGGTTCTTTCCAAAGCTGTTGTAGCAGAATATTCGTTATACAAACGGGTGGTGTTTGATTCATGGTAAAATAATTAACATGTATTTTATGCGTTGTTGTAACAGTTTAGCTGACTCCATTTTGATGTCTAGGTTGGAGTTTGACAATATGAGTGTGTGTTTATTACCCAGAGAATGCCGTCTGGTTTTAGTTGTTTATGGAAGAACATTTAATACGGAAGGTCAAGATACATCGGCTACTGTTTCTCAAACCGAACTTGGCTGGGCTTCATTGCAGTTTTTTAACGTTGAAGGGTTTGTATCTGATTTAAATTTCCCATAAAATAATAGTAAACTAACTGTGAGTTTTGTTTTTAGCGAATTTTCTCAGGGCAAGCATTTACTCTCACTATGGCCACCGTGCGCGGACAAACGTCTTGGACCAGCTCCAGCTCCGGGCACCCATCCTTATAGTCACTCCCACCCAGTTCTCAGTAAGCAAATACTGAGAATACTAAATGCACTTCTTATGTGCTTTTTTTTTTTTTTGTTATTACCTATGTACAATTTATATAAATTCTAATTTGCAGGTGTTGATATCCAAGAGTTTGATTCGACAATAATGTTTCCTGTATTTCAAGACAGTAATCAAATCGTTAACGACAGGTTTGATTTCAACAGTTTGGATCTGAACACTCAAGAACAGTTATTAGATATAATTTACCAAGATACGTTTACTAGGTAATAAATGGTGTTTATTGGTATTGTGAGTTTCATAATGTAAAATAAATAAATAAAATGTATTTTTAACAGGCCGTTATCAGAAGACAGAGAAGTGTTATGGGAAAAGAGATATTACTTATTATCAAAACCGGAAGCACTACCCAAAGTGTTGTTAGCTGCTCATAGTTGGGATTACGCTTGTTTGGCCGATTTACATTCTATGCTCAAAACTTGGGCTCCCATTGATCCCTTAGACGCCTTACAGTTGTTTTTACCATGGTAAGAATGATGCTCATTTGAAACCAATTATATTAGTTTTTTTTTGTTACATAATTTTGGAGTATTAAGAAAGGAAAAGGTAATTGGAGTTGTAGTCAACATTACAGGAAGTCAATTAAAAATTAAAACTTACATATTATTTCAATACCTCTTACGAAAACTAGTATGTTTTGTTTTCTTTATGAAAATTAAGACATTTCAGATAACTGCCGCAAATACTTTTACATTTCAAAGTAACCTTAAGACAAATAACTTAGTTCAGTGTTTCACTCTTAACAATTAAGTACTTTACTTAGTTGTGTAAATACAAGACGATCAACTTTTAAGTATCCACTCGTTTTTTCAAAAACAAGTGCATTTTTATGTTTGAAAAAATGTAAATAAATGTTGTTTTAATAATAAAAGAAAATAATTTAAATATTTTCAAATTTAAAGTGAATAAATTTAATGTTTTAAAAATTATTTGCAATAATTAAATAGCAAAATTAAGAAAGTCACTCGATAAAAAAAATGGTCATTATGGTTTTTTAAAGTTTTGTATGTTACATAGATTACTACTCATTTTATTTATTTGATAAATAGTTTTCCTGACAATGAAGTACGTCGTCTAGCAGTCAAACGGTTGAAATTGTTGAGTAATGACCAACTCGTAGATTTTCTTCCTCAGCTGGTGCAAGCTGTTAAACACGAAACTTATGATAACTCTCCTTTAGCCGAGTTTTTGTTAGAAAAAGCTTTGTCGTCACCCATTATTGCTCATACCTTGTACTGGTTACTCATGCAGCCCCTTCCTGGCCAATCACCACAAGTGAGATAAACTAAAAGAGATGGGTCTCGAAAATGTTATGTTAATGGGTTGCTTGTATGTTAATGTTATGTGCATTTTCATTTAGAACACTTATGACGTTCAAAGTCCCGATGACAAAACCGTGAGTGAAGCGAGGTACTTCAGGAGGTTGCAGTTACTTCTTAGAGCTTTGATCGCAACTTGTGGACAATCTCTTAGGAAGTGTTTCATGTCTCAACAGCTTTTAATGAAGGTTTGTTGAAATATTGATAAAAAAATTACTGAAAATTGTTAAATTAATAATATTTATAACAACGATTGTAGGAACTTTACGAATCTGCAGAAAACCTAAAAGCTAGTAAAGAATCTCATCGTCTCAAAGTGCTAGTCAACGATTTGTTAAATATAAATCAGAATTTAAATGACAATCCTACTTGCTTACCGCTTAGTCCGAGTATCCAAGTCAACGGCATTCAAACCAAGTCGTGTAACTACTTTCCCTCCAATACATTGCCGTTGAAAATTAATTTTACATCTGTGATGCCTAACGTCATTATTCCAGCTATTTTCAAAGTAAGTGAATTACACATTTTGGAACATCTTGTTTAATGCTAACAAAGTTGCTAACTTGTAAATTAGTAATTAAGTAATGTATTGAGTTTTAAATATTTCCAAAGGTTGTAGTAGTGGAGACGTCTATGGTATCTTAAATATCACATCAATTTTGGTTATAATTTTTTTTTTGTGTTAAACAGTATATTCTATTATTGTTTTTTTTTTTTAATTTCTATTACATTTGATTTTTAGGTAGGAGATGATTTGCAACAAGACATGTTGACTATCCAGATCATACGAATAATAGACAAATTATGGCTGAAAGAAGGACTAGACTTAAAAATGGTAACGTTTAAATGTGTTCCCACTGGAGAAAAGAGAGGTAAATGTATTTTCTATGATGACATATAGTATATGTGTTACGTCAATTACTTAGAGCTTATCTTCAATTTAAGTCGTACGCATTAATTAATTTGAAAAACTTGGTGCCTACGTATGTAGATAATCGATTATAACATTGTCTGGTAAAAATGGTATTGATAATTGGATGATGTCTATAGAATTGTATCGCTTTTGCCCTTTTTTCTTTCTACCGTCCATTTAATTCTTCATTGTGCAATATAAAATTATTAGCCAAAACATACAAATATTAAAATACGATGTTAACTTATAAAGATAATAGTACACACGTAATTTTTTTATTAAAAAATGTCACTTTTTATTGAGGAAAACCTAAATTAATTCATCAACTAACAAGGTAATAAAAACGTTTATTGTCAAATAATTAAAAAATGTTATCAATTTAAGGTTTTGCATTAAAGTGTTTATTTTTAAAAGTAATTTACTTTGTGATCACTTTCAGTTAGAATAGTTTTTAAGGACTTATGTTTTCATCAACATTAATTCCGTTTCATTTTATAGGTATGATTGAAATGATAACAAATGCAGAAACTTTAAGAAAAATTCAAGTTGAATTGGGATTAACTGGTTCGTTTAAAGACCGACCTATCGCCGAATGGTTGGCGAAGCATAATCCATCTGCGCTGGAGTATGAAAGAGCTGTTGCTAATTTCACTGGTAACAATTATAAAATATATTTTTTATATTTTTCAAGTTGTTTCATTTCCTGAAACAGTAATTTAATAATAAAAAATTTTAAAAAATGTATAAATTTAAATAATTTAGCGTCGTGTGCTGGCTATAGTGTAGCTACTTATATTCTTGGAATATGTGACCGACATAATGATAATATAATGCTGAAAACCACTGGACATTTATTCCATATTGATTTTGGAAAATTCTTAGGAGATGCTCAAACATTTGGGAATTTTAAAAGGTTGTTAACAACAAATCAAACATAATATTTAACTAATGTTAAAAATGTATACATTTTTAGGGATCGTACACCGTTTGTTTTAACGTCCGATATGGTTTATGTAATAAATGGTGGTGATAAACCGACCATCAAGTTCCATCATTTCGTCGATGTTTGCGTTCAGGCATTTAATATTGTTCGCAAACACGGAAATCTGCTGCTGAACATATTTGGACTGGTACCATATTACCGATGACCATTTTTTTATTACCCTTAATATCGATATATAATGTATACAATTTTTTTTTTTTTTAATGTTTAGATGGCTTCTTCTGGTATACCGGGCGTGACAATGGATGCAGTTAACTATGTACAAAAAGCTTTATTGCCAGAGTTGTCAAACCCAGAGGCCGCAGCATCTTTCGCTCGCATGATCGAAAATTCAATTAAATCTAGATTTACACAGTTTAACTTCTTCTTGCACAATTTGGCACAAATGAGATTTAACAGTGAACAGAATGGCACCGAATTATTGAGTTTTGTACCAAGAGTTTACACGTAAGTCAATTCTAAAGACAACACTGTATAAAGACAAATCAAATGACAATTTTTTTGTTTTCAAATTAAAGGATGGCGCAAGAAGGGAAAATTAAGCGAGTTGACGTATATGGCTGCCAAAAACGGTACGATCCTGAAAAATATTATGTTTACATTCTAAAAGTGTTCAGAGAAAACCAAAGAGACCCATCTTATCTTTTCCGTTCTTACAAAGAGTTCTCTGAATTTCAACAAAAGTTGCTGCTTTTGTTTCCATTGGCCAAATTTTTAAGGTAAGCTTATTTAAAAAAAAAAAAAAACCTTGATGGCATAAACACAGTGTTAATTAAAATTATTTATTCTTGTTTGTTATATTTTTTTTAGTTTATTAAATACCAGCATTCATATGGGACGATCGCATATTAAACAAGTAGCAGAAAAAAGACGTATTGAAATTCAACTATTTTTGAATACTTTATTTCAAATGGCGCCAGAAGTCGGCCACTCCGATCTCGTCTACACGTTTTTCCATCCTCTTTTGCGAGACCAACAAGAGGACAGTATTGAAGACACGAAATTGAAAGGTACTTTGACATTGTATATCAACTCTGTTAACATTTATTTATATATTACCATTTAGTTAATTTATTTATTTATTTATTATCGTAATAACTCACTCAGAGCCTAAACAACCAGCATATGTAAGAGAAAATCGAATACGCGGACAACTAAAACTGACATTACACTATCAACGTGGAGCGTTCATGGTAAGTATTTACTTGAAAAAAACGTTTTCGGTTATTTACAATTTTATTTTACAATAATATAATATGCTAATATGATATTTATTTATAATATAATAGATAATGGTTCATCATGCTAAAGATTTACCACGTATAGCAGGAAATCAAGAACCGTCAACTTATGTAAAAGTTTATCTATTACCTGACCATAATAAAGCAACAAAACGTAAGACCAAAGTTGTTAAGAAAAATTGTTACCCGTCTTTTATGGAAATGGTGTGTAAACATATATATATATATGTATTTTTTTTAAAAAAACCAACATAATATTGACGCCTCTTACGAAAATGAACACGTTTCTCTTTTCCCACAAAGACTAACACCTTTACTGGTTTGATTGACGAAAATAAATACTTTATTGCCATAATTAGTAGTTTATGTATTAAAATGTATTTTCATTAAACATATCAAACGTCGTGTTAGCCTTTATAAGGAAGTATATGTCAGTTAGTTTTCAACTAACATGTTTTTGTAAGGCGCGTCGCTATTGTTATTGGCTTTATCTGTTAAGTATTAATATTTATTCATTATGATTTTTAGCTGGAGTATAGAATGCCATTAGAAGTTGTACAATATAAAACTTTACAAGCCACCGTTTGGAGCCATGACGCGCTACAAGAAAATGAATTTTTAGGAGGTATAACTATAGAATTGAATAATATTGACTTATTGTCGGAAACCACATTATGGTATAATCTGTCGAACATGTACAGATAATGGTGCTTAATTACATAATGGACAGTGTAATCTTATTTTGGTTGGAACTTTTAAATATATAAACAATTTTATTTTAATTGGACTTAAATATTAGTTTACGTATGTATTCAAAACATTTTTTTTTTTAGTAAATTAGCAATAGTTTATTATTGAGGAAACCAAAATTTACCTACTTTTTTTCGTTATGTTGTTTTATTTTTTCTTCTGTGGACTAAATTTTTTTTTTTTGGTGGCGGGAACAAATGCACTTCTCTTTGTTTATTTTTCATTTGAGTTATAATCAATATGAATTTCTCTTTATTGTTTTATTATTGTATTATGGAATAATCTCTCTTTATATTTCTCAACATAAATATCGAATTTAAAACCAAGCATGACTCGCTAGACATTTTATAGCAAAACGATACTTAAATGATGCATTTTTATAGGGTTATTTTTTTATTATTAAATTTAAACGTACGTGGCTCTTATTTAATGTAAACTGGAATAATTTTTGATACTTTTGCATTGAGTCTCGACCGTTATTATACTTTTATTTTAACCATTATTTATTATTTTAAATTTTTTTATCCACTATTTAATGATACCAATAGCTGAATTTTACACAAGTGTTTGTATTTATCGAAATACAATTATTATGATTATTTAATATTATCATCCTTAATATGATAAAAATGTAGTTCAGTTATATTCTGCAAATGATAAAAATGATTAAATAATTTGTTAATAAATATTAGTTTGTACTAATATCATAACTGTTTTTTTAATGTAACATTCGATCTTAAAATTGCATTAATTTTGGTTATAGTGAAAATTTAAACATAATTTTTTATTATTGACACTATAGTAGCATTTAATTAATTTCAATTCGAAACTTAAATTGTTAAAAAAAAAAAGTTCCCTTTTTATTACATTTTAACATAAAATATTTTATTTTAGTTGTAATTTACATTGTATAATGTTTCAAATTGTTATTCAATTATTTATTTGGTTATTTATTGCATGATAATGACAATCGCCAAAATTATTGATTATTATACCCAAATTACGCAAGAAAAAATCTGAATTTTTAATTTCCCTATTTAGATAAACTAATAATGTTAAATAGTTTTATTTTAACATTATTTACTCGAGAATTTTCAAGGGGGGTTTATTTACTTTTGTAAATAAAAAAAAGTTAAATGTAATGCACTTTTCTGTACAGTAACTATTTACTAACAACTAACATTTTGCTCATTTATAATTTACATTAAATATTTCGCTTTATCCTATAAAACGACATTAGTTTAAGCAATATGGCAGTCTAAAAATCTAAATATTTTTTTTAATTAGTTTGTATTATTGTTTTTTTTTCTTATGGTATGTTACATTATTGTTGTGCTTATTGTTAGTAGAAATTTTCTATTTATATCAATTACTCGTTAAAGTATTGAACATGTATGATTATGTCGTTAAAACGAAATAAGACTGAAAATTTCATAAGCATATAAAGGATTTTTATGTTTAAAAAAAAATGTTCAACAACTACTCAAAAACCAGTGATTTTTGTTCTATGGCTGTTGTGTGAAAAAATGTTAATGATAAACATTTCAATTGTATTTACTGTCATATAACTATTAATGTTTTTTTCTTATATTTATTATAAATATTACCATTTTATTTTACATATCATAAGTGATATTATTCTAAACAAAAAAAATATATATTGCTTTTATCCCAATGAGATAATTTTGTTGTGCTATTGATTATTGCTTTTTTGCAAACAAATTTGTATTTTTTTATTTTACAACGCAATATAATTTCACTTGTTATTATAATGTTAAATGTGGCTAGTTATGAAGGATATTTTTGCACCTTCTGCTAGACAATTATATTTAATCTTTGCTTACTTTAATTTTTTTTTTTTGTTAGTTATTTAATGTATATGTGTACTGTTTCATTGATAACCATAACATGGTTATTATAATTTATATTGTTACTCCACTATGTATATTAATTATTGATTAGCTTTTATAATGTTAATAAATCATTTTTTTTCTCTATATAATCCATTTTTAAGTTTTATTTTTTTAATTTAATAACCATTATTTTAATAATAATAAATTATTATTGAAATTACAACTTTTTATTTGTTTTTGATTATAATTTACCAAAATATTTCGCACTTGTGCAAACATTTTATCAATTATGTACCAATCATTGGTCAATAAATGTTCCGATTTCAATATTAGTAAGTATTTAATATATTTTTTTTAACAAATTACGATGTGTAATTTAATAAATAACGAAAACCTAGGTTCGGAACTATTAATTTTTATAGTTTGGATATTTTTTAGGATAATGTACAAATCATCAAAGCAGCGAGCTTTTAAAATATAATTATAAATTCTTTGGAGTTTATTATAAACGCTTTATCTTAAAGGCAATACAAACGCCCCTAAGTGTTTTTATTTATGAAATATTTTTGTCCTTGACACATGTACATAATTCTTTAACAAAGAAAAGAAAAACAACAGTGGCATGGCGTACGCGAGAGCCAAGAGGTCTTTCTTATATGGACTGACGTCAATATTAAAGGCAAAAAACATACATATAGTAGTCACGGGTTAAAAAAATGAACGTTTCCGTGCGAATTAGGAAATGGAAAATAACAATTGTATAAGCTTCTATCTACGATTAAATTTACCCCTGATGTTAACTCTTAATTATTGATACTTTGAACACCAAAATATTGTTGACCATTATTCATGACATAAGAACACCCTTTAGGGTACTCGACTGTGTGTTTATTCAAAATTTAATCACAATTTGTTTGTGACACTCAATTTAGGATATCTTGTTGATATCTATATCTGTGACTACGTAGGTAAGATATAGCCTAAAATATAGGTATTTTTTTATGTCGCAAGTGCCGTAGGTTTTGTTTTAAAAAATAATATATCTACAAATGTGTTTAGCTTATAACGAGGAACAACTTATTTAGGAGTTGTCACTACCTATTACATTTATTATGTGGTCAATGGTTATATAGCATCGACCTTGTTGTAGTGTAGTGTGTACCTAATTTTACATATACTTGGGGTTTTTTGAACATATTACCTACCTATATTTTACACAAATTACTCGTTTTATAACAAAAAAAAAAAAAATCATTAAATTGCGAAAAGTATTGTCTGTAGTAAAATTATAGTGCTGTTTTAACTTTTATTACAAAGTAGTAAGTAAAAACAACTTCACTAATATGTACTATATAATAATATTACGACTCAAAATTACATTATATTTGAATTTTTTGTGGTAATAATAGTTACCACAAAAAATTAATATATATCAATTTGTTTAAGTTACCAGAATTTATTGAGGTGATATTGTCGTGGAACCTTTTCTTAATAGAACGCCACAATACCTATTTATTAAAAAGAGTAAACAATATTGAGATTTCTTTGTTGGTATTCTTTTGTCTAACTATCATATCCAACTTCCATTGGAGAAAAAAAATGTGTTGTCTATAAAACCTTTGTATTAGTGTTTCATATTTATGCTTCCTTGATTAGTCTTTCAACAATAAATTTTACTACCATTAGCAAGGTGATGATGAGATTTATTAATGTTTTGATAATTGGTGGAAACCGATTGTAGAAAAAGTAATTAATAAAAGGATTATTGAAGGAAAAACGAGGCTTCTTCCAAGTTCCATAAGTTCCAAACATAATGTTTTTCATTGTATTAAAATAGCCGTTGTACTATCTATCCTTTGTTTTTTTTTTAACTGATATTCGGTTATTTTGGTGACTATATTAAGCGTACTTTTTACCTATCATTCTAATTTTCAGATATTATGTCCTAGAATATCTCCTAATATAAATTTAAAAAATACTCGTTGAAGTTAAATCTGTCTGTTTAAATTCGTAAAAATAGCAATGCTTTTATAGGATAATCTCAAATTTGATTAAATGTATCCGCAGATGTTCCAGAGTTATCTGACTTCAGAAAGGTTTTCCTACAAAAATAAATAAGCCTTATTTAACAAGGTAAACATTTTTAGTGTTCAGTTTTAACAAGCCAATGCAAATGTTTTTATAATAATTACTGATTTATTCAGTCTTGCCGGGTTAAATATTAGTGATTTTTCTACTTGGACTATTTTTAAATTTGTTAAAGAAGGTATAGGTTTATAATGCATAACATTATAATTAGAAAATTAATAATTCCATTAGTAATAGTTCACTTATATGATATTGTGTGAAAAGACGAACAATAATATTTCAATAATTAACATTTGGAGATAAATGCTGAATCATATCTTTAATTGAAAATAACAATTTTTATGTAGTATAAATATATAATTACATTATTATTTGTAATTCATTTTCGCGGTATTTACATCAATTAATATTTCAAATGGTTTAACCTTGTAATCAAATATATAATAATCATAAAATAAAAATCTGCATAATTTTATTATATTACAATCGTGTGACCGTTTGCGCCTTTTGTTGAATTCTTCGGCCAAATAGTAGTATGTTTAATTTATTTTCACATGATTTGGAGTTTTTTTTTAAATGCATTCACATGATATTCTTATTATGTAAAATATATAATATATACAGTAAGGCGTACAAAAAAAATATTTTTTTTTTGTTTTTCTCTTGACATTATGTTTCTTGGGGTAAAATAATATTTCCCTATTTTTTTAGATTTTTAAAATTAATTTTAGAGGTGCGAGCATCAGTTTTTCAAAACATTGATATATATACCCTTAATAGTACCCTAAAATAACTTTTTTAGGGATGTAAAATATTTTTAATTTATTCCTCATTTAGTTGCGAAGAATTCCGAGATACTTACATAACACATTATTCTAACAATAATAATTTTTTTTTTTTGATTTATTGTTAGAATAATGTGTTATGTAAGTATATCAGAATTCTTCGCAACTAAATGAGGAATAAGTTAAAAATATTTTATACCCCTAAAAATAATATTTTAGGGTACTATTAAGGGTATATATATATCAATGTTTTCGCAAATTTTACGTTCTAAGGCCTAAATTAGTTGGATAGTAGTTTTTTTTGTAAAAAAAAAAATACTGGTTTATTCCTCTTTCTCTAATGATGATTTTGTATACAAGCAACATTTGTTTAAAATTTATATTTATACCTTAAAAAATTAAAAACTAAAGAAAAAGTAATTTTGTTTGGAAAACTGATGCTCGCAACCTCTAAAAATAATTTTAAAAATCTGAAAAAAATAGGGAAATATTATTTTACCCCCAAGGAACATAATTTCGAGAGAAGAAAAAAAAAATTGTTTTTTGGTACACCCTAATATACAGCAATATTCAACTAACCACATCGTATATACCTTTATAGTTCATACATGTGCCCCTATAGATAATAAACATCTAAAGCAGAATGCTATGTACAGTTTTTAGTTTCATCATTATTGTTCTGGAAAATCCCAGGGACATAATTGAGATTTAAGTTGTGTATTATATTAAAATGTATTTGTATTATTCCTTATACTTTATCTCAAAAAGCTTACCGATCTCAGGAAAGTTCAAATCTTAATAGGTAGTAAGTACATTTTTTATTTCTAGATCCGCCTCTGATGATAAAATTGACTTTTAACTTTGCTTTCATTTCCTACTAGTTATCGCCTAACCTAGTGTGGATGTTATGTTTACAGTCGTTATGCTAAGTCGTCACGACATCATCAGCTATTGATCTATGTATAACATTAATATGATGTCGAAAATGTAAACATTTTTAAAAAGTAAAAATCAATCAATTGGTATGACAACAAAATCCTCGACTAGGTAAATAGCGTCGAGTATAAATACACAATGGTAATAGTAAATAGGTAGGTATGATGGTTTATAACCAAAATATGAGTTCTTATGAAACGGCCGGCGTTCCCTCCGCCATACAAATATGCCGCGACCAACCGCAACCGTGAATTAATTTGCACATAAACGACATTATGTCTACAGTCGTCCAACGTTAACAGCGTTGTGATACAGTATGTTCTTCGGCATACATACATGACAACCGGTTCGTCATCATCAGTTCGGGTACTGTCCGCAATTTTTTTGTTTTTTTTTGTTTTCTCACTTTTCCAAAACTGTAGTGGCATACATAGTGGTTACTTTCCGAGTGTGTGTGTGTGTGGTGTTTTATTTTTTTTGAAATTATTTTCCATGTGTGTCGGTGCCTGGATTTGTTCCTCAACACTGCTGCCGGCCGATTATTTAACGCTGTTTAATTATGAAATTATACAGACAATAGTCAACTGGAAACGTTAATTACACAGTAAATATTTATAACAAACTACACTAGTATAAATATTATTCTTATTATTATTATGCACCTATTGGCTATGGTGAAATTCAGCAGCGAGGCTACTGGACACACAATCTAAAATTAAGAAAAGAGAGGGGATTTTCTACATAATATTTAGGCATATGAAATACTTTTATTATTCATATATCATACGTATTTTTCAACACAAAAAAGTTCAATGTTGGCAGTTGGGCGTAATGCTTGGCTTTAAGCCGTTTACACAAACTAATTTATATTTACTATAATGTATAAAATTAGGTTTATGATACTGGTCGAAATAAAATGTTTACATTACAATATTATGGAACGTTAATTGTAACAAAATGCGGTCAAAATGCATAGGCCATATTGTCCGTGAAATAAACGCATTTTTAAGAAAATGGTGCTATTGTACTCGCCCAGTTGGCTACAGTTATCTCACTACAACTTCAAAAAGTTTACATTTATTTAAGTATAAAATGTTTTAATTGTTTGTTTGTATAAACTTATTACCGCGTTTATGTTCGACCATAAATGCGGTCGAACAATTGAGGAAAACTAAATGGGACAAATAAAAAAAATTTTCGTTAATTTATCTTTACAACGTATTAACATTTTTATAATATTTATAACAAGGTAACTTATTAAAATAATACTAGTAATAGTATTATTAATTATTTTACACTATGACCCTACTAAATTTTCAATCTTAAAATACTTTTGTGAACATTTTGAAAAATGAACTACCTATTTAATATTTTACTGTACTATGTGAGCTTTATTAAGAGTAAGATAAACTTTATTTATTAATTGAACTCTTTACTAGAGCACGAATTGTATCACAAGATCTATACAAAGTTATTGATGAAAATTAAACTGTTAAACTACATAATTTTAAAAAAAATGTTCAGCAATAATTATTGTAATCTACAACAATTATTATATATGAATGTTTAATTTGGTTGGAAACTATGGTGGTCACCCATCTAGGAATAGCTAACTTAACTTTTATTAAAAAAAGGTTTCAAAAAACCATTTTTTTTTTAACTAATAAAATAAAATCATCTGATAATAAATCCTTTTTGTCATACGGCACATTTATTTAATCGTTGTCACCTTAAACCCCTTTTGATATTTTTTTAAGTTTTATCACATTGCTCTTTCAGTTTTCAACCCTATTCCAGTAAAAAGTACACGCGGAATGTAGTTTATGCTGTTTTTCTTGGTGCTAAATTAATAATGAAGTCATAAAATTAGAAAGCAACTCTTCGAATTGATTGTCGATGAAGGTCAATCCAAAACAAACTCTATAACTGCGTACATATCATAACAATATATTGTACCTAATATTGAATGACGTGGATAAAATATTAAATCGAGTACTTATTGCTTAAGTATGTATTTATATATCATATTGTACATAGATACAAACAAATACAATTATAAGAAAACTCAAATGTTTAATCATAAATATTAGAATTTACATATACTACAGACGATGCCGAATTCGCCGAGTATAATTTTGTGCATTGGACATATAATATTATTTGATTTTAATTGACTAAAACTTGTAACCGCTCTCTTTATTTTATGAGATTATCTGAAGTAAATGTCGTTAATTGTAAATTTTCAAAGTTTTCTCAGTTTTTTAAAAATATAATTATTCTTCTTTAAAACTTGTTTACCTATTGTTATAAAAGCCGTCGCTATTATCGCAATTCGTCGTCTTTTAATTTATTTACCAACCCCAATTAGTTTCCATGGCAACCAATGAAGTTTTGTTTCTTCGTGAAAACGACCAGGTCAAAAATGATAATTTATTCTTAGCCATCCCGGAGCATACTTTAGCTCTAAAAAAAAAATAACGCTTGTCGGGTCGCACATTTTTTAACCAAAAAGTTCATGATCAGTATCGCCTAATAACATTGTTATCTCTTCAAACAGCAAAAATGGTCCAAATGTGTTCTGACAAGATTATACGACAGCTATCGAAATGATTAATTATTTAACTGTAATCAAATCTATGAGTGTTGGAATTCATTTATTTTTGTCGGCATGATATCATAAAAACACTAAAAAGATTTTTATTGTTCACAATCTTAATCGATAAAACAAAATCATTTGTATGGTTCAAACATAGAACATTCTATCCTTCCAAGATTTTGACACGTTCAAGTTTTGCGAAAATAGCTAAACAATTATTCCACGTACAAAAAAAGTGTAAGCTTGAAAATCCGGATTTTCACAAAAAAAAACGCTATTTAAGCTACTTGAAAATCATATATAAGTGTTAAATAATTTTACAATATAAAGCTTTGTACCTAAGTAAATATGTATTGACAAATATGTAAAAATAAAACAAAACGCTTTTTGGTGTTTTTGTTATTTCGGATTTGTTTAATTCCGAAAATTCAAAATCCGAAAGCATTTTATAGACAAAGTTAAGAGTTTTTTTTTTACATTTTTACCAACAAATTTTTCTTAGGTACACATCTTTCTATTGTAATAGTATTTAATATTTATACGATTTTCTAGTGGCTTATTAAATAGCGTTTTTTGAAAAATCCGGATTTTCGGATTCCCATCACTAACAGCTTCACTAGATACTAAAAATAGCAAAGCTAGTATTATTATTCAAACTCAACAGTTAACTAATTATTACTAATCATACTCTGTGTTGAGATGATATTGTATTTTAGATCGTTGTGAACTCATTATCCGGATAGAAATCGGCAAAAACATTTTTTCTTTTATATTAATGATTATTATTGTTGAAATTATTAGCGTAATAATCTAGATTTAAGATGGCTCCGGGGCTCGAAGTTAAATTTAATTAATATTTTAAAATCTTAAATAATTTTTTTTTGTAAAAATATAATAAAAAAATCATTACTATAAAAACAACATTGAATCTTATTATTAAAATACCAATCTGCCACAGATGATCAGTATATTATTGTTCTAGTATTATCAGTATTATTGTTTTTAATATTTTATATGATAGATTTTTTTTTCTCTAGTTGCGAAAACCGCATTTTAATCGATTTTAAAAGGATCGTCGTTACACTATGAGAACATATTATTGTTGTAGAGTCAACGTATATCCCATTGTAGTAGTCTTCTTGTTGAGAACTGATAAGTTTCTGATCTGTCAACGATAAAAAGTTTAATAGCGAACAGTCATTAATCAAACAGTTATTTGATGAATGATGGATATCATCATCATTTGCTTATACCCGGGTATTCTCGTTCAAGAAAGCTGTGTCATCACACATCATAAGCGTTCATTGTGTTTACTACAATCAAAACTCGTAGTATTATTTTGTACACTGAAAACGGCAGGCGGTCATGTCCTCTCTGCGCATATTTATTTTCATTGTATCGATATTTATGTATTACATTTGTTTTTCTATAACGCAGGTCCGAAATAAAGATGTTTGAGGGCCCCTAAGGACTATAAAATTAATTTCTTTTAACAGTTTCAGCTGATTGTATTTCTAGAATTGGTAAAAAAAATTACAGAAGTATAGTTAATATATGTAATACATCTATAACGAAAAATGTATTGATTTCGTTGTATGTATTATTCTCACAAAAAACTCAAAACTGCATTCATGATTTTTCATAGTTAAGTATGTAACCTATCAACTTAAATATTCTTAGTCCCTAAGTATTTGATCAATATATCATATGTAACCCTCATATACATATTTTCATTTGTGGATTCATTATTCTAACTTTAAAAGTGTTCATGTTATCTTGTTAACAATCCAAATATGTAACATATAAGCCTGTTTAAGTAAATGAGTCTGTTCGCACAAAATTAAGTATAAAATAGATTACACTTTCGATCATTGTGATAGATACTAATATACTATATTATTTTTTTAGCTTCATTTCAAAGCTGAAAAATGACGTCATTAAACGCAATTTTATAAGCCCCATTGTGGAGTTCTTTTTTCTACACATTTAATTTACATAAAAGATAAAACTTTATTGGTAGTGTACAAAAATAATAAAAACGATTAAATGCGTGAAATATCCGTCTATAGAAAAAAAACTCATAATACACCGTATAGATTTGTTTAAACAATATTATGCTGAATATGATAAAAAAAAAATTGAATACAATATAAATTTATCATTTCAATTTAAAAAATTTTCCTAGATTTTTAATCTAGGTGTTTAGTAAAAACCATATATTTGCTGAATTATACATTCACTATTTATTAACTTAAGTCTTAGATTACCTTTTAGAAATGAAAATTTTAAATATTTAAGAAAGTTCCCGTTGCGGATCAATTTATTAAGATTTTTTTTAAATAAACGTTCTTACAATCTTTATTTTTATAGAAAAATACGGATTTATCTTCAATATTACGTTTTTTTAAAAATCTGAAAGTAGACCACAAGATTACTAAGTACTAAAGCCTAAATGCTATATTATACCGTTTGGCGTTTGATGAACGCCAACAATTTTTTACAAAGTGGCAAGTGCTGTAACGATCGATTTACTAGGTATATTTAAATGTAATTAATAATTACATATACATTATGTAAATATAAATAAATATAGCAGCACTCGAAATAAAATAATATGGACAGGTATAATAACTGCGATATAAATTGAGGTGAATTAGACTGTGCAGGAGTCAGGGATCGATTTTCAGGTGTCGCGTATTGCAGTTATATACTTATTTTATTTTATTTGTTATTGTTCGCCAATTGGATTTCATTTAAAGATAGTTTTTCATTCGTCTCGTTCAATCCCAAAAATATTCAAATCGAGACACAACCGATACGGTGGCCGGCAATGCCACTCCGTAAAAAATGATTAAATCAAATTTTGTATTATTCCCCCCCCCCTTTATACCTAGGTGGTTATAATGTTTGTGAGAATATAGAACAATAAAATTCACATAATACATAATTTTTAAAAAAATTATTCATGTCGGAATATATTATCCACATTGTTTTAGTTATTGCCAACG